CGAAGAACATCTACTGGTGAACGGAGCCTTAATGGAAACTCAAGCAGGCTTTACTGCTGGAGGACGTGTTGAGGACAATCTCTTTCTTCTAAGCTACTGCGTCGAACAAAGTTATAAAAGAAAGAGACCGCTATATGTGACAGCCATTGATTTTGAAAAAGCCTTTGATTCAGTCAAGAGAGGCCCAATGATCAAAGTCATGCAAAGATATAAGATCCATCCCGATATCATCTCATCGGTAGCAAGTATATATCACGGCGACTTTACAACGATTAGGCTCAGTAGTGCTACAGAAGAAAAACTCAAAGTAACCAGTGGTATAAGACAGGGCTGCACTGGTAGCACCACGCTGTTCAAGCTGATCACGTATGAAATTGCAAGGAAGCTGATGGCCACAAGAATGGGATACAATGATAGGAATATCTATCTCCCCTTACTTCTGTTTGCAGATGATGGTTTGATGCTGTCTCATTCAAAGAAGGAAACAGAGCTAATGCTTGAGGTACTTGTAGCATCAAGTGAAGAATACGGAATGAAAGTAAACAAAAGAAAAAGTGAGATATTGATCGTAAATGAAACTTGCGAAAACAGTGAGAACATTACAGAAATCGGAGGGATACCTGTTACAACAGAAGTCAAATACTTGGGAGTGACGATTCTCAACAAGAAGGATGTATTCAAGGAACAGAAGAACCTAATGATCAAGAAAGCCCATAAGCTGTCAAATATGACATATAGCATCATAAGTAAAAGTTGTAATAAGATTATGATTGGGAAAACCTATTGGAAAAGCATTGCCCTACCAGCAATCCTATATGGAGTCAATGTTATGACACTTACAGAAACAGAAATCAAGCAACTACAGACTATTGAAAACGGGGTCTACAGGAAGATTCTAGGAGCACCGAAATATGCACCAAATTGCACATTAAGAGGAGAAATCGGTTCATCACTAATGAAGACAAGAATAATGAAAAGTCACCTTCAATATATAAGAACGACACTGCAAGGACGAAATGAACTACTAAAGAAAGTAATGGAAATAGAGCTTGAAAGGAAAGAAAGCAAATGGGCGAAGACAACCGAGAAGTACCTGTCATCACTGCAAATAAGATTACATGCCCTAAAAGATAAAAGCAAAAAGGATATAGACAAAGAAATAAACAAATGGGATGCAAAACAATGGATGGAAGAAATAGGAAGCAAAGTAAGCCTACAGCTATACAAAGCAAGCAAACAACGTATAAGAGAAGAGACTATCTATGACAACACCCCAGCAGCGGTCACTCTCTTTCGAGCTAGAACGAATTCGCTACCCCTACAAGAAAGAAGACGACACACCGATGAAGACACATTATGCCAACTATGTGGAGAGGAGAATGAAGACATGGAGCACTTTCTATTGAAATGTAACAGACTCATGGATGTTAGAAGTAATATCGAGTCCCTACAACGACCTCACATAGAAGACACTCAGGAGATCATGAGAGACTTTCTCTTCAATGACGAACGGGAAGAGGATGCGGAAGAGAGGAAGGAGAAGCTGCACTGTCTATGGAGAATCCGTCAAAAGCGTCTGGAAGGAACATGAGCAAATGTAGAAAGACATGCAGCCTCCATCCTCATCCTTTTCCCAGTACCCCTATAACCAAATAGGGCACCTATGGGGGAGCCGATGCAAAGGCTATTCCCCCGAAGACTCATCTGCATCTGCATCTGCATCTGCATCTGCATCTGCATCATCTGCATCTGCATCGTGCTGCAGGAAAACGAAGCATGCTTCAGTAGGTGACGTCACACAGCCGGTGACGCAGTGGTGTGGGCGGGACTAACGGGCGACGAAGTCCTCACTGCGCATGCGTGCTGCAGCATATTTCATTTTGGCTGCGCAGCCGAACAGCCCTCTGAACTCCGGCATGAACACTTTGCAGTTTTGACACAGCCAGAACAGGTTATTTTCCCTGATGGCTACATAGGCCTCTTTTAGTAGTCCCTGGCATGCAGGATGGAACCAGTTGAGACACAGTTCACACTCAATGCCCCCATCTGCATTGTTTTCCACAGTTTTACCACATGAACCTCCTCTGGGACCTTTGCAAACTATTTTGCCTTCATCCTCTCCCCTCTTACCTTTTTGCTTCTTGGTCACAGCTCCACTACTTACATCGCTGTCCTCATTTTTATTTTCCGACGCGGCACTTATATCCTTGCTTATATGTTGCGCATTTGTCTCCGTCGGCGTACACGGCGCACTCGCACTCCCGCCTTTTTCCGCTTGCGGTTTCAGTTTCAACTTCGGCGGCATTTTCTCCACTTTCGTTTGAGACGTCAACAATATTGTTTCTGGCTTTTCTTTTGTTTAACAATATTATTACAATACCACAGGTTGACTTTCAAAGGATATCTTTCGCCGCTATTGGGAAAAACCACCAGAGGGCGCTGTTGGCACAGACAAAGGGCCTGGGGCGGAGCGGCGATGGACACGTCCGGCCGGGACGGGTGAGGATCGTAGAATCCATATTCTTATTCGTAGAATCGATATTCCGTATAAGATCTACGATCTTAGAATAAGATCGTAGAATCCATATTCCATAATCCATATTATTTCCATACAAATAAAAATTTTGTATGGAAATAAGGACCACCCTACTGTCACAGTCTCAATCACAGATAAAAGAGTTACTTCAATATGCAGTTACCAAATACAGGCCTGATCATCGATAAATATGTTAAAATGTAATGCAACAGCAATCACCAGGTAGAGTAGCCTGTTCAGAACCAGTAGGCAAAAGGAAGTTTAAAATAGTTGGTATCATTAAGTTTTATTGCTTGCTATTTATGATTAATAAAGTTACCTGTCCTGAAGCTGGAGCTCCTCCACCAGCTGCAGTGTGTTGACGCCCTGCTGTCCAGCTGGACGCACTGTGCGTGGCCCGTGCTCCCAGACAGTGCCGTCCACATGACGTGTGGTGTTCACCCATCCGCCGACACTGGATGCTGCCTCTAGCACGGTGATGGGCAGTGCAGAGCTGGGCCGCAACTGCCGTAGGTAGTGGGCGGCTGCCAGCCCAGCCACACCACCTCCCAACACCACCACTCCAGCCATTGATCTTGTAATCAGCTCTAGCAGTGCTCAGTAGCAGGCATTTCTCTCAGCTGTAGGAATATACCAAAGTGTTCATCACGACAATGAAGCCAATCAGACTAAATCATCATGTAAATTGCATGGGCTGTGGAGGAGACAAAACAATTACTATTCATCTCTTTAACAATTTCTTTAAAATATGCTGATGCTATAAGTACAACCCCTAATGTAGTAAATTAACTAGTCTGGATAGTTAAAATAATGAAATAGGATGGGTACCTATTTAGCAATGACAAAAAGTCATAAATAAAGTTAATTGAATGCCTACATACAATACAAAATTTAATCATAACAGTAGGTATTGATGATTAGCCAGTCTGGGCTGTAATCACTAGCAATTAGCATACATGTAAGGTGTTCAGTTTTTGTAGTATCATCATGTGAGTAGTGCAACTTTTCTCAGGAAATCTCTTTATCTTTTAATGCTTACTATCTTACTTATCTAAATTCTAATAGCTATCTTAATCTTTCTTAACTATCTTTATCATTTTATCGTTTAAGTAATACCTACATCGTTTTGGGAAACTTAGTAATATTTGGGATCATTTTGTATAATTCTGATGTCTTAAATTATTTTATGGCGTTTTTCAAATTCTAACTCCCATTAGGTACTGTTACAGTTCCAGCATGATGTCAGTAATCTTGTGACGCCGACTGCCGCCTGGTATTTATCATTTCAAGCCAGTCTACACTCTACACTTGGGAAGTAGCAAAGAATTCCTGGATTTTTATTTGAGGGCACTGAATCCGGGCCTGTCAGAATATTACGCGCCCTAATCAAGCCCTAATCACCAAAAAGAGGAAGAAGCTTTAGCAAACTTCAAGTTGAAGTTGGGCAAAGCACCCTTGTTTTATTAACCGTAAGTACAATACAAAGGTCCACCTGGTGTAAGGGTACTCACATAAGACTGGTCCGGCTGGCCTTTATAATTTTTTTTCATAAAACAATAAATTCGCCCTCAACAACAGGATCCGATTCAACTCGAATTGCCTTGCTCGAATTCACCCCGAAATTCACCCTAGCATCGCGCCCTGCGCCGTGAATTGCAACTCGCGCGCCGATTACGATAGCATTTCTGAAGCTACCATATCCCCTTTAAAAATATGGCAGCAAAATAACTTCAGCGCTACCTTTGCTAATTGGCAAAGTTATTTTTGTACTGCGTAGTAAAGGAATCTTGTTCGTACTTTGCTTACCACGGTGACTATAAATAGTACTTACCTACTATCGATGCTTGCAAAATGCAAGTAAGGCTGCGGAGTCTGAGTCAGAGTCGGAGCCGTTCAGAGTCGACAATAATGGCCGGATTCGTAATCGCCCAGTCGAGTTTGGAAGCCGGAGCCAGAGTCGGAGTCCCTGCAAATCCGTCGACTCTGCCGCCACCCCTATAGTCCTACGCTCTGCGGCAATGTTTCGTACCTAGTCCTACTGTAACTGAGTTATACCTAAGCCCACTGCCGTTAGACCTGCGTGAACTGTCTACTGTCTCAATTATGTCATGGTATCCATCATGTGAATGACTCCACTTGGCACTTTCAGCCGTAAGGCGAGTGTGAGGTGCAAAATCCCGACTCAACATTGAAATGGAGACGAGGGCCTGAACCCTGGGCCCAGGCACACGGGTGGATGACGAAAGGGCTACGATTCCTCGGTGAAGCTGGCTCGGTGAGGCTTATCAGCCGCACAACTGGGTGACAGGCTGAGTCGGTGGCTGCTTCCGACATGAGAAGCGGCGTGGTTAGCCGGGTGAAAGGTCCCGGTTGGCCGGTACCTGGTGGCTGGGACTGGCACTGAGTAGTAAAGGAATCTTGGGACTGGCAGGTCCGTCTCTCGGAGGCGGTCAACACCTTTCAGTTTGAAACAGTTTCAATAACATGTATTTTCCCCAAGCACGCATCAATAACTCACCCTCGAGAGACCACCCCTTGGCAAAAGATCCATGGCACGATACGATGTAAACAAAGCTTGCATCCCGAGATACCTTTCTCGCATAAGGGAGCAGAACTGATATTAGTTCAACTAAAATTCTAGAGGTGAAATCTGCTGACAAATATGAGATGCTAGTGACGTCCTCCGTCACTTCACTACAGATCCAGCAACTTCCTCGCCTTGCACTGTCTATGGAAGCACGTTATTCTTCTTAGCAAGAAGACACAGCAAGGAAACAGCGGGGGAGACACAGGTGCAACATAGTGCCAGTCATACAACGGGAGACTTGCAGTCTATACCTTTACTATGGCTTTCCCCGTGTTGGCCCCGTTCAGCATGCCGATGAAGGCTTGAGGCATGTTCTGGAACCCTTCAGTAACCGTCTCCTGAACCGAGATCTTGCCTTCGCGAATCCAAGACGCCATCTGTTCAATTCCTTTGTTCCACTCGTCGTCCGCATCCCAGCGGTATACGAGAAACCCTTCCACCTTCAGCTGCTTGAACAGAATCAGCTTCTCGGGGACTTCCAGTTTCACCTCCTCGCCAGTCTTCTCGTTGTAGCTGGATATGCAGCCGCAAACAGAAATGCGACCATAAACGTTCATCTGTTTGCGGATTTGATAGCTGAGCATTCCGCCGACGTTATCGAAGTAGCAGTCCACGCCGTCCGGGGCGGCCTCCTTCAGGGCAGCGTCGATGTCCGCGCACGTCTTGTAGTTGATGGCCACGTCGAAGCCGAGCTGGCGGATCCAGGCGCACTTGTCGTCCGTACCCGCGAAGCCGATCACGCGGCAGCCCTTGATCTTGGCGATCTGTCCGACCAGGCTGCCAACGGCGCCGGCCGCGCCCGTCACCACCACCGTCTCGCCCTCCTTGGGCTTGCAGATCTCCAGGAAGCCGAAGTAGGCCGTATTGCCCGGCATGCCGCACGAGCCGAGAGCATATGACGTCGGAAGGTCGCCCAGGTCAGGAAGCTTCCTCAGTCCGAAGACGGATGAAGGTGTGTCCTCACTGGCGACGGTGCGGGAGCGCCAGCCAAGCTTCCCGACCACCCGGCAGCCTACAGGAAACTTGTCGCTCTTGCTCTCCAGTACCCGCGCCACTTGCGATCCGATCATGGTCACTGGTGGTTTCAAATTCCTCGAGTAGGGCCGCATGTACGGGTCAACGCTGAGGAACTCGGCCTCGCAGAGGAACTCACCCTCCTTCAGTTCGGGAAGGTCCTCAGACTCCAGCTGGAAATCAGACGGCTGCGGCATGCCGTCAAAGTGACGCAGCAGGGTAAATTTCTCGGCCTTCATCTTGGATTCTTTTGCCACCTGTCGGATACCAAAAGTGTTAAAATATCAAATGATCGCCGGTCTAAGATATATGTCTGTGGGCGCGAAAATCAGCGTCGACTGAGCTTTCCGGCGCATCGGCAACCTACAACCACAAGCCAGATTTCATTGCTATTTATTGAGAGCAGGCATCAATTCAGGGTATTGGAAAAGTTAACCATTCGATTCACTGCACATTTACACTGCATACATCATCAAGCAACGGCGGATGTCCCACCATGGGTGGCATGAATCTTGCAAAAAGAACGATAAGTGCACAATTCACTCATGCCACGTAGTCCTGCAACATCAGCGGCTGAAAGGCAGGGATAACATTGCTTAGTCATCAGGACAGAACAATGGCAAAAACTATCCGCACGTACCATCGCATGACATTACGCATCAGATCACACTTACCTAATGTTTCGTACGCGTATAAGCCACTGTAAGCCTCTAGTGAAAATAAAACACCTCGCCTAAGTGACAGATGGTCTCTTGCTGATGAGCTGAGCGGTTCCACGCATCACAGTCACGTCTCTCCTAACTGATGTCACAGAAAACTCGGCCGATATGAGTTTCCGCACCGCCGTCAGCCAGACGGACACCTCCACCAGGTCACCACTCCGGCAGACGGCCGGGAACTCTAACGTCTGGCGCACCACCACGCAGCCCGGCCCTGGTAGCTCGGTACCCATTACAGCCGACACCAGACTGTTCAGAAGAGCGCCGTGCACCACCGTTTCAACCTCTCCGCCGGCAGGCTCCATGTGGACGGGATTCGTGTCGCCACTGAGTTCAGCGAACCGCTCCACTGTCGCTCGCGAGAGCTGCACCCGCCGTACCGCCCGGTCACCGACGCTTAGCCAGCGTTTGGGAGGAGACATCACCAGGAGCCGTCCGACACCCGAGTGTCTGAAGCCAGCTGCAGAGGCTGACACAACATAGGCAGCTAGCATTTTGCGGCTTTCGACCGGCACACTTTGTGAATCGAAGCTCTCAACACGAGCAAACACTAGCAACGAGTATATGCGGCGTCTCTCTCAAATACCCAATGACTTGCTAGACCACCTTCCCACGATTCAGGCACACACTTTGTGCCTGATCAGATACACACAGTCACACGGAGTTTTGTTCTGGCGCTGTGCCGGCCGGTTCCGGCAGCTGGCGTCGCAGCAGGACGGCCAGGTTCGCCAGCCGACGGTCCTCGGAGCCACTGAGCTGGACCGTCAGCCGCGTCAGCCGCTCGGCGTCCACCTGCTCCCAGACGGAGCGGTCCGTGACGGGCAGCAGCAGCAGCGTCGTCAAGCAGGCGGCCACCGTCTGCGCACAGGACTCCTCCAGCCCGAGCAGTAGCGCCGGCAGCACACCTCCAGCCAGCAGCGCGCGCCGACACCGCGGCTCCAGACACAGGTTGCTGACGGCGGCGGCGGCGAACCGGCGCAGGGCGGCGTCCGGATCGGACAGTCGCGCCAGCAGCAGCCGCGGGGCGCCCAGTCGCAGCAGGTGCTCGGCGTTCCGAGGGTCGTATGCAAAGTTGGCGATGTTGGCCAGCACCTGTTGTCGCGCCGCAGGCTGCTGCGATTCCTGCAGCTCTTCAAGCAGGTCACGAAGGTACAGATAACGTTCTGGATGTGGGTCGCTCATTTATAGTGAGTCATTTAATATCATCCAATGTCATTTATTGACATCAGATTGTGTGGGAGCTCAATGCTGTCACCTGTTGGCCACTAACTGCATGTCATTGACAAGCAGCACAGCACATGACTCTCAATTCAGCATCAGATGCATTAAAAAGTGCATTGGTTAGCATTGGAATGGGAATTATACATGCCACTTCTGAATTGCATTGAGCATTGAGATGCATTGAGTCATTATGATTTATGAAGTCACTTATCTCATATTTGTGGCACTATGCCCCTATGAATGTAGCATGCAGCAGCTCACAGCTGATGACAGAATATACACATACATGCACATGTACACACATACAAACATATACATCATGAGCAGAAAAGGGTGATGTATTAGGACTAATGCTACCCTAGGTCATTTTGACTTCTTTTGCTTCAGAAATTTACATCTTGGTGAGCATCTGGTAAGAATCTATCTGCTAAACAAACAAACTCCATTTTATAATTACCAAAATTTTGTTCATAAGGCTTATAAACCTGTTGAACATTTAAAAGGGGTCATTAAACACCCATAATTTCATTTTCGAATTGAAATATTCTCATCTGAGTGATGAAGATAGCAGCAGGTCACACCTTACACTCAAATGCTCGACAAGAAAAGTGAGAAGAGGCTAATAAGGCCAATGCCAAATAAATTGAAGTCAGCAAGAACAGAAACGTAGAAACAATTTATATCATTCAATATTTTGATATCAATCAGAAAGTGTAGGCGATCATTCACATTCTACACAAACCAAACTGAACCCGGTGGCAGCATGTGAGACGCCTTCTATAAGAATAGGCACCCAAATTCAAACAGCAGTAATGAACATTTTCGAACTGCCAGTTGATTTCTGACTTTGCCGATTATCATATGTATCTATTTAATGGATAGAAAATCGATAAAATCCAATCCAACTCGTTCAACCTAATGACACGCGCGCTCAACACGCAAGGAAAACTTTGTTTTTATTTTGTCGCACACACGCTGGAAATGTCGTAATTTTGGAAAGATTGTTCGACAAATTACTAATGATGCCGATGAACAGCCTATGCCGTGAACGATGAACGTGTTTCTGAAACGGAATCAGATTTCCATAGCGCTGTTCGGCAGCCGGCTATTTTGTGTGCAGGGTATGACGTATTTCGCGAGCCGACGTCACAGGCGGTGACGTCGGCTCGCGCACGAGCCGAGCGCCAACGACAAACTAACGGGAACCCTCGGACACCCTCGGGGCATAAACCGCGGAGTAGCATATTGAGCGAGTCTTATAAGGAAAATTCATATATTTTCGTTTCTCAAATGATAATCAGGGTGTCTCTTACCTTTTTACATATCATTTAGGCTTACCTAACACTTCAGTTGCCAAATATCTGCAATTTATTCAAGCGAAGGTATTTTCAGTAAATATCAATGGTATAGACCGAAAACTTTTGAATAAAAATTCCAACCAACTGAAATAAAAATAACTTAATTTATTCCAACCATTTCCTCCAAATAAACAACATAAAAACTCACTTTTACACACATCATATGTAACGGAAGTTGGCACAGATTCAGCACAGGTTCAGCACAGCACAGATTCGGTAGGGGGAAAAAAGGCCCCGGTAGAGGGAAACCTTTATGACCCGTTTTCCCCTAGAAATGACGTCACAAAGAGGTAAAAATGGGTATCAATCGAAAGCTCTCGTTTACCCAGACACAGTCCTGCAGGAAAATTTCACTTTTTCCCCATAGGAAAGTTTGTACGGGAAAATCAAAATTTTGTGTCAATGGGGGTCCCCCCCGATTTCGTTCAAAATCGGCACACAGGTGCCCCACCACCAGCCGAGAAACTTTCCCCAAAACGGTCCCCGTTGCATTGACGTTTAAGGCCCGTAAAGCCCCCTAGACTCGTAAAATATCCGTAAAATCGCCTTTGTACGGACAAAAAAGTGGTGCTATGGTAAAAATGGGTATCAATCGAAAGCTCTCGTTTACCCAGACACAGTCCTGCAGGAAAATTTCACTTTTTCCCCATAGGAAAGTTTGTACGGGAAAATCAAAATTTTGGGTCAATGGGGGGTCCCCCCCGATTTCGTTCAAAATCGGCACACAGGTGCCCCACCACCAGCCGAGAAACTTTCCCCAAAACGGTCCCCGTTGCATTGACGTTTAAGGCCCGTAAAGCCCCCTAGACTCGTAAAATATCCGTAAAATCGCCTTTGTACGGACAAAAAAAAAGTGGTGCTATGGTAAAAATGGGTATCAATCGAAACCTCTCGTTTACCCAGACACAGTCCTGCAGGAAAATTTCACTTTTTCCCCATAGGAAAGTTTTTACGGGAAAATCAAAATTTTGGGTCAATGGGGGGTCCCCCCCCGATTTCGTTCAAAATCGGCACACAGGTGCCCCACCACCAGCCGAGAAACTTTCCCCAAAACGGTCCCCGTTGCATTGACGTTTAAGGCCCGTAAAGCCCCTAGACTCGTAAAAAATCCGTAAAATCGCCTTTGTACGGACAACAAAGTGGTGCTATGGTTAAAATGGGTATCAATCAAAAGCTCTCGTTTACCCAGACGCAGACCTGCAGGAAAATTTCACTTTTTCCCCATAGGAAAGTTTGTACGGGAAAATAAAAATTTTGGGTCAATGGGGGGTCCCCCCGATTTCGTTCAAAATCGGCACACAGGTGCCCCACCACCAGCCGAGAAACTTTCCCCAAAACGGTCCCCGTTGCATTGACGTTTAAGGCCCGTAAAGCCCCCTAGACTCGTAAAATATCCGTAAAATCACCTTTGTACGGACAAAAAAGTGGTGCTATGGTAAAAATGGGTATCAATCGAAAGCTCTCGTTTACCCAGACACAGTCCTGCAGGAAAATTTCACTTTTTCCCCATAGGAAAGTTTGTACGGGAAAATCAAAATTTTGGGTCAATGGGGGGTCCCCCCCGATTTCGTTCAAAATCGGCACACAGGTGCCCCACCACCAGCCGAGAAACTTTCCCCAAAACGGTCCCCGTTGCATTGACGTTTAAGGCCCGTAAAGCCCCCTAGACTCGTAAAATATCCGTAAAATCACCTTTGTACGGACAAAAAAGTGGTGCTATAGTAAAAATGGGTATCAATCGAAAGTTCTCGTTTACCCAGACACAGTCCTGCAGGAAAATTTCACTTTTTCCCCCATAGGAAAGTTTGTACGGGAAAATCAAAATTTTGGGTCAATGGGAGGTCCCCCTCGATTTCGTTCAAAATCAGCACACAGGTGCCCCACCACCAGCCGAGAAACTTTCCCCAAAACGGTCCCCGTTGCATTGACGTTTAAGGCCCGTAAAGCCCCCTAGACTCGTAAAATATCCGTAAAATCGCCTTTGTACGGACAAAAAAGTGGTGCTATGGTAAAAATGGGTATCAATCGAAAGCTCTCGTTTACCCAGACACAGTCCTGCAGGAAAATTTCACTTTTTCCCCATAGGAAAGTTTTTACGGGAAAATCAAAATTTTGGGTCAATGGGGGGTCCCCCCCCCCGATTTCGTTCAAAATCGGCACACAGGTGCCCCACCACCAGCCGAGAAACTTTCCCCAAAACGGTCCCCGTTGCATTGACGTTTAAGGCCCGTAAAGCCCCTAGACTCGTAAAAAATCCGTAAAATCGCCTTTGTACGGACAACAAAGTGGTGCTATGGTAAAAATGGGTATCAATCAAAAGCTCTCGTTTACCCAGACACAGACCTGCAGGAAAATTTCACTTTTTCCCCATAGGAAAGTTTGTACGGGAAAATAAAAATTTTGGGTCAATAGGGGGTCCCCCCCGATTTCGTTCAAAATCGGCACACAGGTGCCCCACCACCAGCCGAGAAACTTTCCCCAAAACGGTCCCCGTTGCATTGACGTTTAAGGCCCGTAAAGCCCCCTAGACTCGTAAAATATCCGTAAAATCACCTTTGTACGGACAAAAAAGTGGTGCTATGGTAAAAATGGGTATCAATCGAAAGCTCTCGTTTACCCAGACACAGTCCTGCAGGAAAATTTCACTTTTTCCCCATAGGAAAGTTTGTACGGGAAAATCAAAATTTTGGGTCAATGGGGGGTCCCCCCCGATTTCGTTCAAAATCGGCACACAGGTGCCCCACCACCAGCCGAGAAACTTTCCCCAAAACGGTCCCCGTTGCATTGACGTTTAAGGCCCGTAAAGCCCCCTAGACTCGTAAAATATCCATAAAATCACCTTTGTACGGACAAAAAAGTGGTGCTATGGTAAAAATGGGTATCAATCGAAAGCTCTCGTTTACCCAGACACAGTCCTGCAGGAAAATTTCACTTTTTCCCCATAGGAAAGTTTGTACGGGAAAATCAAAATTTTGGGTCAATGGGGGGTCCCCCCCGATTTCGTTCAAAATCGGCACACAGGTGCCCCACCACCAGCCGAGAAACTTTCCCTAAAACGGTCCCCGTTGCATTGACGTTTAAGGCCCGTAAAGCCCCCTAGACTCGTAAAATATCCGTAAAATCACCTTTGTACGGACAAAAAAGTGGTGCTATAGTAAAAATGGGTATCAATCGAAAGTTCTCGTTTACCCAGACACAGTCCTGCAGGAAAATTTCACTTTTTCCCCCATAGGAAAGTTTGTACGGGAAAATCAAAATTTTGGGTCAATGGGGGGTCCCCCTCGATTTCGTTCAAAATCAGCACACAGGTGCCCCACCACCAGCCGAGAAACTTTCCCCAAAACGGTCCCCGTTGCATTGACGTTTAAGGCCCGTAAAGCCCCCTAGACTCGTAAAATATCCGTAAAATGGCCTTTGTACGGACAAAAAAGTGGTGCTATGGTAAAAATGGGTATCAATCGAAAGCTCTCGTTTACCCAGACACAGTCCTGCAGGAAAATTTCACTTTTTCCCCATAGGAAAGTTTGTACGGGAAAATAAAAATTTTGGGTCAATGGGGGGTCCCCCCCCCCGATTTCGTTCAAAATCGGCACACAGGTGCCCCACCACCAGCCGAGAAACTTTCCCCAAAACGGTCCCCGTTGCATTGACGTTTAAGGCCCGTAAAGCCCCCTAGACTCGTAAAATATCCGTAAAATCACCTTTGTACGGACAAAAAAGTGGTGCTATAGTAAAAATGGGTATCAATCGAAAGTTCTCGTTTACCCAGACACAGTCCTGCAGGAAAATTTCACTTTTTCCCCCATAGGAAAGTTTGTACGGGAAAATCAAAATTTTGGGTCAATGGGAGGTCCCCCTCGATTTCGTTCAAAATCAGCACACAGGTGCCCCACCACCAGCCGAGAAACTTTCCCCAAAACGGTCCCCGTTGCATTGACGTTTAAGGCCCGTAAAGCCCCCTAGACTCGTAAAATATCCGTAAAATGGCCTTTGTACGGACAAAAAAGTGGTGCTATGGTAAAAATGGGTATCAATCGAAAGCTCTCGTTTACCCAGACACAGTCCTGCAGGAAAATTTCACTTTTTCCCCATAGGAAAGTTTGTACGGGAAAATAAAAATTTTGGGTCAATGGGGGGTCCCCCCCCGATTTCGTTCAAAATCGGCACACAGGTGCCCCACCACCAGCCGAGAAACTTTCCCCAAAACGGTCCCCGTTGCATTGACGTTTAAGGCCCGTAAAGCCCCCTAGACTCGTAAAATATCCGTAAAATCACCTTTGTACGGACAAAAAAGTGGTGCTATAGTAAAAATGGGTATCAATCGAAAGTTCTCGTTTACCCAGACACAGTCCTGCAGGAAAATTTCACTTTTTCCCCCATAGGAAAGTTTGTACGGGAAAATCAAAATTTTGGGTCAATGGGGGGTCCCCCCCGATTTCGTTCAAAATCAGCACACAGGTGCCCCACCACCAGCCGAGAAACTTTCCCCAAAACAGTCCCCGTTGCATTGACGTTTAAGGCCCGTAAAGCCCCCTAGACTCGTAAAATATCCGTAAAATCGCCTTTGTACGGACAAAAAAGTGGTGCTATGGTAAAAATGGGTATCAATCGAAAGCTCTCGTTTACCCAGACACAGTCCTGCAGGAAAATTTCACTTTTCCCATAGGAAAGTTTGTACGGGAAAATCAAAATTTTGGGTCAATGGGGGGTCCCCCCCGATTTCGTTCAAAATCGGCACACAGGTGCCCCACCACCAGCCGAGAAACTTTCCCCAAAACGGTCCCCGTTGCATTGACGTTTAAGGCCCGTAAAGCCCCCTAGACTCGTAAAATATCCGTAAAATCACCTTTGTACGGACAAAAAAGTGGTGCTATGGTAAAAATGGGTATCAATCGAAAGCTCTCGTTTACCCAGACACAGTCCTGCAGGAAAATTTCACTTTTTCCCCATAGGAAAGTTTGTACGGGAAAATCAAAATTTTGGGTCAATGGGGGGTCCCCCCCGATTTCGTTCAAAATCAGCACACAGGTGCCCCACCACCAGCCGAGAAACTTTCCCCAAAACGGTCCCCGTTGCATTGACGTTTAAGGCCCGTAAAGCCCCCTAGACTCGTAAAATATCCGTAAAATCGCCTTTGTACGGACAAAAAAGTGGTGCTATGGTAAAAATGGGTATCAATCGAAAGCTCTCGTT